GGCCCCTAGATACTGTCTTAATACCAGAGTAGCTAGCAAAAACTTTTTCCTACTCCAAAGGTTTTCTTTACTCTGTTGATTGTTCCCTTTGCTGTGCTAGTTTTTAATTTAACATGGTCATGGTTCCATGTGTTGACCCATAGTATTTCTTGAACAACTGGAGTTTTGTTCAGGAAATTCTTGCCTGTGACTGTTTCCTTCTTTTATCTTTCAAGAAATTTAGTATTTCTGTTTTTTATAGCCTGATCTTTCTTTCATTTTCATTGCATTCTTCTTCATGTAGATAACCTGTCTTCCCAGCACAATTTGTTGGAAAAGCTATTTTTTTCTCCAGCATTAGTTTTTTAGCCCTTTTGTCAAAGACTAGATGGTTAGAAGTATATAAGCTGTTTCTGTGTCTGTTAGCCTTTTCCACTGGTCTGTATGTCTATTTTTGTGCCAGTACCATGCTGTTTTTCTTACTGTAGCTGTGTAATATAACTTAAAATCTAGAACTATAGTGCCTCCTGCTTTGCCCTTTTTGCTTAGGATTGCAATGAAGTTCTTGGTCTCTTGTGATTTCATGTAAGTTTTAGTATTTTTTCTAGTTCTCTGAAGAATGGCATTGGTATTTTGATTGCATTAAAGGTATATGTTATTCTTGATCGTATGACCATTTTGGCCAAATTGATTCTGTCCACCTAGGAACAGAATAATGTCTGCATTTTCCTTTTATTTTACTTATTTGTTTTTATTTATTTTTGGACTTTTTAAAGACAAAGTCTCACCTATGTAGTTCAGGCTGACCTTGAGCTCACTTTGTAGCCCGGGCTGGTTTCAAACTCACAACTACTAGCATTACAAATGTGCACCACCATGCCCAGCTTTTTTTTTTTTTTTTTTTTTTTGTTTTTGTATGTTCCCTCCTCTTTTTTCCCTAAAAAATTTTTTTTTTTTTTTTTTTTTTTTGCGGAACCGGGGATTGAACTCAGGCCCTTGTGCTTGCCAGGGAAGCACTTATTCTACTGAGCCATCTCCCCGGCCCCTTAAGGATTTTTTTTTTTTTCTCCAAATGCCCTTAGGGGTGGTTTGGCTGGCTGGAGTGTTGTGGGAATCGAACTACAGCAACCTGAGGCTGACAGCTTTTTGTGGAAGCAGCCTCTTAAAGAATTGAGCTAAGGCCATGCCCCCCAAAGAGTTTTGATGTCTTATAGGTAAAAGTTCATATCATCTGCAAATAATGATAGTTTGGCCTCTTTTCTATTTTCATGTTTTCTTTGTCTTGCTTGATTGTTCTGGTTAAAAGTCCAATTATGTATTGAACAGAAATGGTGAGATTACACACCCTTGTTT